ACTATTTAAAGCATTTGTTAAAAATGTTCTGAAAAATAGCTTGCACCAAGAAATGTTAATTGACAAATAAAAGGTTTATTTGCACAATAAGCCTGCAATGCATTGTAAATATAGAAGAAAACTGTGTTGTCCAAAAAGAATTACCTAGGCTAAAAACAATAAGTTACTGATTACTGCATAATATTCTATTATATTTTTATATTGTGAATTGTCATCTGCCACCTGAATTTTGTGCTTCCCTGGTGCAGAAAATGTCCCCAGAATGTAAGAAATTAAGTGTTTAATGCTCAAAATCTTCTGGGAAGGACCCCCAGACCCCCCTATCAACTATTCATTTTTTTTTCTAAATAATAGGTCTATTAAAATATATTCTTGTCTTGTTTTCATGGCCCCAGTCTTGTGCAATGTTGCATCTCATGGGCTAAGTGTTTTGTCACACCCCTGATCTGAGCCCTTAAATGGAAGGATGGTGTATTGGCCAAAAATGCCAGGGTTGATTTATTTTTCATTTTTTTTGTCCCAGTCCAGCCCTGGTTTCAGTCCTCATGTGAGCTGTGTGTTTGCATATTTTGAACCAATTATAGGGGGCAAAAAAACCCACCTTCTGATATATGGCAGACAGCAGGAAATCCAAGCATAAAGAATCAGTTAGGGGCTAAGTGCCATATTGAGCTATCTTGTTATGTGTTCTTAGCCAGGATGAACACGTATATATTACATAATATAAGTTAAATTAAGGGAAAGGGTGCAGACAAATGCATGTAAATGCTAATCTAAGGTTACATGGACTGTAATCTGATTTATTTTGACACCCTGCTGTTAAAATCACACTGGATCACACAGTTCAATAAACATGCTTGCTGAGTTCATGTTTTATTTACAAGCCCTGGTTTAAAACTAGGCAGCAGAAACAACCAAACCAACTTTAAAATGATGCTGCAAAGCCAAATATTCTACTGAAGTTTGAACCAAAACGAGGAACTATACTAACTATTACTACTACTCATTAAAATACCAATATAAGTTCTGGTCCAGGAAAGCATTCAGTACTCTGTGATACCCCCCTGTTCATGGCCATCAAAGTAGCCTCTTCCTCTGCTATTCTAAAACCAGGCAGCCAAACTGAGATAGAGAGCTGCTGGATTCCTCTGGGCGGGCGACTCGCTTCTCATGAAATTGATGAAAAATTCATCTTGCCAGGTTTTGCTTTATCTTGGGCTCCCTGCAAAGCGTCATTAAATCTGCTCTAAAACCTCTACCTCGATTTGGTTCAGAGCTGAGAAGCTACTGAAGCTGGCCTCTGCGATGCATTTACATATACATTGATTCTCTCAACATTTTCAATAATGTGTATGCATTTTGCAGTTTACAGTTCATGGAGAATCATTAAGATATTGTCAACATGACAAACAGGTTGGTTTAGATGGGTTAAAGGTCAGGGCATCCTGACAAATACACTTATGTGCGTTTTTAAAATGATGAGGGCCAGCAGAGAGAGTGGGAAGGACAGCATTAACGTGGGTGGAATCGAGCATCAAGTGAGCTTTTCGTTCATGGAGAGAGGGATTAGACACCTCTCAGTAGAAACCTCTCTCCTTGCTGCTTTTCTCTCTTTTCACCTCTCAAAATGTTTCTCCTCTCTTATCCCGCTGTCTTTGATCTGTCCTTTCTTTCTCATTCCTCTATCTTATATTCCTCCATCCTCCACTGCTTCTTTTATTCTTTGTGTTTCCTCTTGACTGAGTAAACCTAGTAGTTTCAAGTTCATTCATTAATTAGATATTGGATTCGGACAAACATTTCTCAAAGGCAGAAAAAACTTTCTTCTGTGTTGAGTTAAACCTGTTGATTTTTTTTCAGTTTCTATGGTAATGTCAGTTATTCATTCATTTATTTATTCTAAATTATCTTCAGTATTCAATATTTTCAGATTTGCTTCAGTGGCAGCCTTCTCTTTCCTCTCTCACTCTGAGTTGATCAACTCCAGTTGTTCTGATCTGACAACAGTGTCTCCTGTGAATTTGGTTAATGTTAAAATGATTTTCAGATGTTTCAGAGAAAAGATATTGTCGTCGTGCTTACGCTTTGGTTGCTTCTGACAACTAGCCCTTAGTTGAATTTTTGGATGATCTGATTGAAGTGATTTTTCAAGCAAAAAGGGAAAAAAAATCACAATTTCCAGCTTCTCCAGTTGCGCAGATGAGACTTCATATTGGGACGAAACTGATAATCTTGTGTGGTGATGCACAGAGAACAACAGCAAAACTAAGGAACTGATCATTGTTTTTTCATGAAACAGGAGATAAAGACACACACTCCTGTCTACATCGGTGGAGCTGAGGTGAAGCAGGTGAACAGTTTAAGGTTGCTGGGAATCAGCATCACAGAGAACCTGACATGGTCATCTCTCATCTCTGGTGAGAGATGAGAGATGGTGTAGAAAGCTCAAAAAGCCCAAAGGACAGACATACTAAAGGACAGTACCCACCCCAGCAACCGCCTGTTCACCCTGCTGCCTTCTGGGAAGAGAAGTTTCAGCTGTCGCACCACCAGACTGCAGAGCAGCTTTTCCCCCCAAGCTATCAGGCTCTTAAACTCAAATTCACCCTCCGCACTGCTCCATTGATTATTGAATACTGTTTATTTCTGCTTACCATTTTTAAAATTGCTTCTGTATTAATGTATATTGTCGGCTATGTAGAGAATGGACTCACAGTCATTATATAATCTGTTATATTGTGCCAATAAATGTACCTACGTACCTACCAGATGTGCTGCTTGCCTTCTATGATAGGGAATGGAAAATGTTTGGGTCCTGGGCAATTTTTCTGACAAAACAAGCAACCTGAAGATGGGCTCTACAAAATTGTGACTTTTCTCTGACATTTTGATAATTAATCAAGAAAGTGACCAGCAGTTGCAACCCTAATATGCATTTATATTAACAGATGGTTCAGACTGAGCTGATCTTTGGAAATGTCACCATAATGCGGATTTAAAGACTAGGAAGAAGTGGTGAACAGTAATTTGTCATTGATCTGTTTCTCTGTCCTTTAATTCTTCTCTATTGAATCTGATATTATACCAAAAGATGTCATCTCATTTTGTGACAAATTACTACAATGTTTAGGCCTGAGGGCTTATTGAGCCGTTGTTGAGATCTTGTTTACCATCGTTACAGGTTGTATCTTTATGGGTACAAAAGAAATTTAAACACACCTTCACCACAAGTTCAGGGGCTTCTTTGAAACGCACACAAAAGCCATTGAAAAGATTATAGGCTCAATTTTACACCTCACTCCGAAATGCACAATTGTGACTGACGACAGCTGGTGTGGAAGAACTAACCTAGAAGCTAGAAACCGCTGGCATAGGTTGACCTATAAAGCAGACTTTTGTTTCTGGGAATTTGTGTGAAGATTCTGGCAGAATCACAAACTTCATCTGTTGGCTTAATGTAACAACTATCAGACTGCCCTTAAGCGAGGCACTCATGCTGCACCTGTTCTAGCTCTGTAACAACCAGTACAAACCTGTGGTTGTACCAGGCAGGTCAAGTGCAGAATTGTAGAAGTTTGAGGAAGACTGACTGGAAAATAAAACACACTTTTAGTCAAATAATCCTACATTAATACATGTTTAAATAAAGACAATTAAGCATGACTACTTTAAAAGATAAGCTCCTCTCTTCCTAAACAGCCGTAATAAGTAGGTGAAGCATAAGCCTGAAGCACGCTCATATTAATACAAATCTCATGCTTTGAATAATGGGCAGGGATCATAGGTCTGTTTTGTGATAAATTAAAACAATTCTTGTCAACAATTCATCTGGATATGGTCTTCCTTCAGAGAAAAAGAAACGCTGCATTGCAGAAGGAGGAAAAGTCGTGTCGTTTGCATCTTATTTTGGGAAACCAAGTGCCTCTGAGAAGACTTGCTGTCTCTGTCATCATTATATGATGAATTGCAACTAGCTCTGCTCTAGGTGTAGATATGAAAGAGAACAGAGACGTACAGTATTTTATAGGAGATTTGTTTGGGTCTTTTTCTAATTTGAAATAAAATAATGTTTTGTATCATTGAGCTGATCCATAATTGATCATAAATCACTCAAATTATTATTTAAACTGCTACATATATTCAGCAAATTCTCAAAAATCTAAACATTACTGCCTCTCTTACTGGTAAGAGCAACAGATTTTTAACCCATTGTTGTGTTGTTTGGAACTTGTTTATATCCAAAATTTGTATGAATGCAGTTTTGTAACATTTTTTTTTCTATTAAAGAGGGGTATTATGCAGTACCTAGTTGTCATTAACATTTTAACTATTAATGTTTCATGAATATCTGTAACTGTCACACTAACAGGCAAAATTAATAAGGACTTTTGCATCTAGAATATCAGTTTCCTGAGTTATACTGTGAGTACTTCTGAGATCCAAAAATAGCCAGAATATTAACAACATCAACAGGATCCTAACATGGTGTCAGTCCATAAATAAAATAAGAGCTCCTGATCCTGTCATTCAGACTTGCCCCAGTCTAAGCCCAGAGGGAAGAGATGGGGATGAAGGGACACTGCAGTGTCAGAGTTTGGCTCTGGATTTCATGACACCATCATGTCAAAGATGTCAACTTGCTGCTTCAGCTTGACAGCAACAATTTCTCACATTAACTATATACTGTGGTTTCCTGCTGTTGGCTGAGGAAACTTTCCATATCAAAATTTGCTTTGCTTTAGGGGAGAACACATCATTATTGAATAGCTGTCATGTATTTACCAGAGTGAGAAAAGTTTCGTGTCCATTTTCAAGCTAATAATTCACAGGATTGATTTTTGGTGACACCCTAGTGGTAAAATTTGGTAAACAATGTGAGTAAACCAAGGCAGCAACACAGCATCTGTTTGTGACTTGCTAAATTGTATACAATTACCATTGGATTTAGAAAAACAACAATATTTCTTCATGTTGTGTTTGTTTTCTATGTGTCGTTGCAGATCTTATTGTCAAACTGGCAAAGGACAAGTTTGGAGCCATTCACACGGAATACCAAAAGGTATGTCAGTGTGTTAAATGATGATTTTCTATACCTTATTACATTATGGGTATTTTTCTGATTGGATGCAGCAATTTTTGATAACAATTTATGATGACAATTTAAGACTTGTACCTTTTGAGATCCTCTGTAGTCCCTGAATTCTCTGCAGCAAGGCAGTAAAAGCTTTTACATGCCAAGGCAAGTCCATGTTTTTACTAAAATAATGGTGGTTGCTTCTGGCACAACGTGAATTTAGAAAGGGATATACCATTTGAATTTTTATGAGGAACAACCTTGATAACCAATGACATTTTCTAGTTCTTTGACAGATCTACGGTGAGAGTTCACTCTGTACCTTCCTCTCAGTTAGTGGGGAGAATTTGCTGTCCGTGTGTGTGCAGTGTTACAATATGCAGCTATGTGGATATGCATGCCAGTTTTGAATTCTATGATTTCTCTTTTTGTTGTTGTATTTCATCCACATATTTTTGTTTTGTGGCTTTGCTCCTTCTTTGACGCTGCAATGCCTTTGTCTTCTGCATGCCCTCTTCATCTGATCTGCTCTGGTCTCCCTCAGCCAGAGAACGTAGTGCTGACTCTTCAGGTAAAGTCTGCACGCTGGACTTACAGTGCAACCCATTCCCTGTCTCACCATGCTCCACTGTCCAGAGTCATCAGGGTTGCACAATGCTGCCTAAAATCACTTTATGTTACACTTTAGTTGATATATTACTACATTTTTGTTTATTTCAACCATCTTCATCACTGGAATATTAATGATTAGTTGTGCAGCCCTAGGACTCTCACCCAGCCATCCTATCCATCTCACAACCACCAGGTTAGCTTGGCTAAAATTGTAGCTCCTGTATCTTTTGAGACATGTCATGAATTAGATATATATTTTCATCTTCATGGAGGAGAAACAATGCTGACTGGATCACCAAGGAAGAGTTTTAGTGCTCTGGAATGAATTTCATACATTTAACAGGCCATGTGGAATATTCTTTTACACCAGTATCATGGCCCTAACTCTAGTTTTCCAACTTGGCTGCTGAGGACTTGCTAGCCCTGTTAGGGGACAAGCATGTAACACATTCCCGTCAAAGCCATATCAAACTGATGAAAAAAAACAAACATCAATATGGGTTTGGCATACGACAAAGACTTTAGCTCTCAATTTGTGTTAATATTACTACCACACAGAACCTTATGATAAAGCAGGGATGTTGAATAAATATATATCAGGGAATAAACATAAATCTTCAGACAGAATAGCTTTGAAAACTGCTGATAGCCACCCAAACCACAGCAAGGATGAGCCACACATGAACACACACTTGATCTTTTGAGTGCTGATGTTGCAGAATGACAGAACTCTTGTTACTACTATAAATCTCCTCACAGTGACCTGGACCAGTGACACACTTTATGCAGCGCTGCCACAGCTTTGTAAAAACATGTTTCCTCCCAAGAGCTTAAAATGCATCACTCAAGAAATAACACACGAAAAAAAAGCCCTCTCCGTGTATATCCCATTGCTTCCTTACAAGTAATAAGGAGTTAATCAGATTTTTGGTCACTCCTGAGAAATGCATGATTTACAATGACAATACATGAATATTTTCCAATGTCATTCATACTGGAGCTGCTACCTTGATGTTTTGTAATACATCACCAAATTTCTTTCTGACACGAGTTCAATTACCTAGCTGCCATATCAAAGTGAAAATGTCTTGTGTGTGTCATTGCCCAATGAATGCAAAGCAGACCAATCAACCAAAACAGTATAGCAGCTGCAGACTGTGGACTGTTGAAGGATAGCTAATCAGTGAAAGGCCTGGTGTAATCTTGGTTTGAATGAAAAGCCTGCATACAGTGGATTTAAATAGTCCAGCTATGATCAAAGGCTTTCTGATTTTTCTGAGGTTGCAGAATTGCAGTCTTCACCTTTGATACAAAAGAGATATACGGTAATTGAGAATGATCATGTGTCTCTTGTGAGTGGTATTCATCCACGTCCAACCCAATGGACTATCAAGAAATAGGATCTGAGCCACAATAATGAATAAGAACCCCAAAAAACCCACAGAGAACCCTGACGTTAATTAATTCACTGTGGCTTCCCTAACTCAGGTATTTAGCTTGCAGTCCATGAGCAGTTTAGGGTAACAGCCTCTTGCTCGAGGACACTTCAGCAGGCCTTGTGGCTGCTGCTTTGATTAAATCTGATTAAAGTAGGGCTGGGCAATAAAACAATAATGATAATTATCGCAATATTTTATTAATCAATTAACCATCTTGTTTCTTCAATTTTCACTAAAAAAATCAGAAAGAAAGAAATAATGATATCTATCGTGATAATTATTGATATCGAATGATATGAAATATTTTTATTGTGATAACATTTTTGGCCATATCGTCCAGCCCTAATTAAAGTTACAGCATTGTCTGTCTTTACCACTCAGACATGCTGCCAACTCATCATAAAGTTTGTTCTTATTGGAAGGTCACCTTCTTCTTTTGGGCACTTGCCAAGACAAAGCTATAGTCCAAAAATAGTCAGAGCTGCAGGCCCTTGAAGAGTGGTGGTGGAAAAAAATAAAACATTTTTGACCTTTTTTTTGTGAAGATTCTCCCAGTAACAAGCAGAGCCCAGAAGCATAATGACAATGCAAGCGTTCAGATTTGCACAATGTCCTCAACAACTTGGTTGACATTGGTGCTTTTAAATGACATAGGACATACATACACATGCCCAGTGTCTCTTCTTTTCTTTCTTTGCTTCTCTACATCTTCAAAACTCTCTGGTCTCTGCTTTTCTCTCAGTTTCCACTGACCCTGAAACCATCCATGTTTTTATTCCTTAAGGTCAGGTTTTGACACAGCCAGGAGCCTCTCTCATCCAAACACAAGCTTTTGGAGCTGTGCACAGATATTTCCGAATGAATCAGAGAAGAATACTCTGTCATGTTCAGAAGCCATTTCTTTTTAACTTGCATGTTAAAAAGCAAAAGCCGCAGGTGGCTGGAGAAGGCAGGGTCATTGACTGAGGGTGATTAAGATTTGTACAAATCAGCTGGGAGAGCAGTTCGTCCATTCAGGAGCAGTGATAGCAGCCCTGCTTTGATCCTTTCATAACAAGAAGCTGTTGAACATTATTGTGACAAGTTACATATGGTGTGGGAATTACCAATCCCCTATTCAATTTCGCCAATTTCCAAAGCCTATGCGGAGTGTGGTTTAGATAGGGGCAGATTAGGTGGGAGCACTGTGATGCATGACAAGAGGAGGTGGAAGCTCTACTAAGATCCTGCCAACTGCAGCACCTTTAACTCTCTCAATATTTCTAATATTCAATCAAAGTCAAGGATTATTGAGGCTTTGTAATGACGGATGTGTAGATTTCACAGCTGACTGTTCAGAGACAAAGCACAATTCATACAGCACAATCAAACTGTCTGAATATAGAGTTTTCATATAATTATACGAGTCAGCATTCCTCCGCTCACTCCTGCACTAACGGTCTCGGGTCCACGCACTTTAATCATACTTGTCCTCGCCACAATTTACTCCCTCTCTGACCTCACTGCACTCTTATTAACTGTTTAACCCTAACAAGCCTCTAGTATTAACAAACTAACTATTCACTGCAGATTCTATCTAAGTGCGTGTGAAAACTGTACTTCTTCAAAAAATGACTTGAGCTTGACAACTATCCATTTTCTAGTACTACTATTTATTATCTACGCCTAGCTAAAACGAATGCAATCTAATACAAAAGTCGCACAATAAGTTTTCCCTTCATGATTATTATAATGTTGAATTTTAGGGAAATGTTGATTCAACTTCAGTCATTTTGGAAGCTGCAGTTTATGATGAATTGAATTATGTTATACTCAGAAGGGTTTCTAATATGTGGTCTACTCTTATTTATATAAATGAGATGGACACATTGTTCTTCACAAAAGGTAACTGTTGTTATATTAGACTGCATTACTTGATGAACAGGCTGTACATTTCTCACTTTATAAAAAGGACTATGTAATTATTTCATTTCATTTGTAAAGCTGGAGTTGCAAGGTATTCACCCAACAATGTCCCTAAAATCCTATCGTGGACCAAGTGATAGAAATCTGCCACTGCCAAAGAGATAATTTCATCTGCATTACGTGGTTTTTTAAGTGTAACTTATAATAAAATCGAACGGGCTGTGTGATGCCCCTTAGTTTTGCGATACTGAGACTTCTGCAATAAAATTATTAAAAAGGATGAACTGCACTGAAACAGGTGTCATTATCTCACCCCAGGGGCGGATTTGTTAGCTTGTTTCAAGAAGAATCTGTACTTTATGACTCATTACAAGTCTAAAGTACTTGTTAAGATGGAGATTTTCTGCCTTGTAGTTCATTCCTATTGAAGCAGGTTTTTCATCAGAAATTCTGTCTTTCCGTGGGAAAATGGCACCACAAGGCTACGTGGATGGCTCTGTTGCAATACTCCTTTGAGTATTTTCCCATCATCCTTCATGCATTGCTATCCTCTCAGTGCATATTGCAATTTGTTGGAAATTGATGTGGGGAAAAAATTATTTTAAGAAAAAGAGACATGGCATTTATGTTGTGAAATAATGTAGTTAAGGAGTTGATTATTGAACAGGCTTGTGGTATTTAAGAATAAGAAAGAAAGGATTATCCAGCAGTAAGTAGTGTTATGCAATGTGTTTATTGTTTATCCACAAATCCCTTTTGGACAAAGAGTAGAGAGAATTTCCACCGGGGGGGATCCTACCAGATATTTTTAGATTTGTTGCTCATTTTATCCTCTACCTCCTTGTGTGTGTCCTTCCTTTTTCTCCTGTACACCGCTATTAATCTATCCTTTCTTGTCTCCCTCACTCCCCAACTCACCCAATCCAATTCTATTTTCCCTCAACAAACCCTATTCCTTATTGTTTTTTTACCTTTCCCCTCCTCACCTCTGCTCCCCCACGCCCCTTTCTCTCTCCATCTCATTCTCATGTTCACTTCGTTGCTCCATTGTGTTTCGTAAATAATTTGCTCCCCGTTCTTCATCTCATTTTTCCTTTCATTCCTGCTGACTCTAGGCCATCTACTATGAGATAGGCTTCTTAGTATGTGCGGCAGTGGGCCTGCTGTTCGCTGTTCTGATGCCGATAGTCGGCCTCTTCTTCTGCATGTGCCGCTGCTGTGACAACTGCGGTGGCGAGATGCACCAACGCCAGAGGAAGAACGCAGACTGCCGGCGTGGCCTGCTGGGAACATTGCTCTTCTCCACCTCACTGGTCATCACGTGAGTATGACACATGTACATAGATGACACGCATAGGAAATAATAGGCGGATATCAGCTTGCAAGCAGACGTGTATTTTATGGTGCAAACTTGCAAACAGTGTACATGCATGCAAACATACACTGGTATTAAACGCAAGCTACACCTCTGTCTTTTACAGTGTTCTCAGTGTACTCATGCAAACATGTTAAAAGGCAAAAACACACTGTACACACCTCTGGTCATCTTTTGAGTCTGTTTCAAACACACGCAATCATTGGCCTTCCCCATCCCCCATGCTGTTGGCTATGTATAGTAAAGTCCTACTGTAGCACCCTTCATACTTGTGTTCAGTCTAAGCCCTGGTCATTATAATCCGCAGGGAATTCACACTGCAAGCTTTCGTTTACTATGGTGAGAATTCTTCATAATGTCAATGTAACATAAATAATAACAAATCAAAGATAAACAAATGACAAAATCCACAATATACCACAGAATTTATGACAGTTACTCTCTGTATGACATATATCAAATGGTCATATATATATATTTAAGAATACACTTTGTGTACAAGTGCTCCAATTTCATCTACACCTTTCTATTCTCCTTGGCTTTTTTGTATAATAATTATAATATATACTGCATCTGCCTTCAGGGTTTTTTATTACTGCTCCAGCTGTCATTTCCCCCATTTTAGATGAACATTTTAAGCATTTGGCAGATTTTGCAGCGAGTCTAGCACAATAATTAATTCCTAGTTTGCCAATGTTTTAAACTGTAGTAATTGTAATTAAATATTGTAATTTAAGGATTTCATACATAGCACCTCCAGCTATTTTCTGCCTGGACCTTGTAAAACTAAACTGCCATTAGTTGCAGCAAGCAATTTCAGACATTCTTGACATTGTGTGGTTAACCTTTACTGTGGATACTCAGATAACAGACCTTTTATACATTTTATACATGAAAACAGGCAGCTGCAGGACAGCAAGAAGACCATGAACTTTATTTTTTTAACATTTATACTACAGTTGTTTAGGGTAAATTAATATAATATCTTAATATTGCAGAGCCACCTATCTGACAAATGAGAAACAGTAGTAAAGAGAGTGAAATTGCAGACGGTGGAAAATTAAGGGAAAATAGGTACGAGAAGGTTGATTTCCTAGACTGTCAATGTTTTGACCAGTAGTAGTTGTTTTCAAGCTATTTTCAAACCTGTTTTTTCAGGTTTGAGGTAACAAGGATGTTACCACAACGTAGCATCATAACTGTAGGAGAAGGTCATGATTTTGCTGAACTTTAACATTGCGTATTGGAGTTTTTAAAACCAAAGCTTTATGCAGACCACTTAAAATGATCCCCAAATATTGTTGAACTTTTCTCCAGACCTGGTTATATCATCACAAAGTCTTTTTTTTATCAAAACATAGGTTTCTGCTAATTGAAAGGTAGCAACACAGCATCTCCAGAGCAGCTAGAATCCACTTTCTTTGTAATCCACTTATATTTATACATTATATATATACTTTATATCTACTTATATTTCTGTCAAAAATAATGAATACCTTGTTATACCTAAGTTTGAATGTTGTAGCCCAAAATTCCTTTTCTCTTGTAACTATCTCGCGGTGAAGTGCTGCAGTGGTAATTATATGCTAAAAAAGACAGTTACTACACACTTGATTTGTCTAACTCTGGCTGTGGAGGCCTCATTAACTTCAGATAAACTTTTGAATACATTTTTGCACAGAATGAGGACTATGGATTCTGTCCCCCATTGCTTACACTGAAGATCTCTTAATGGCCAGATTGTACTGGAGGAATGGTTACAGCAAGAAAAACCTGTTTCAGTGTTCATGTGAGCACCTGACTGTTGTTTTAAACCATATTTAAAATGTATGAACCTATCCTTTAAGACAAGACTTTAAGAAATCCTCACTGAAAATGTATCCCTTAATGTACGTTTTGCGATGTAGTACTTTTTTAATATTGGAAAGCCACTATCAGGCAAGTGAGAAATTGTAGTGAAGCAAGTAATGAGATTCTATTTCAAATTGCACATGATGATGGAAAATGATGGAAAATTGACAGAGTGGGCTGAAAACAGTTGGGAGTAAGGCTTTAAGTTTACCGTGTGTCTATTACAACAGCTGGCTGTCCTGCATCTCGTTGAAAGTCATCTCTCGGAAAATGGGCCGCGAGTAACTCAATCTACTCTCCTCTCTGTTTTATTGTCTCAGCGACACAAGAAGCAGTAGCCGCTGGGGATGTAGCCACAGTACAAAAGAGAGCTTGAGAGAGCTGCCTTTGTCTCTTGTGCTATACTGAAGGGATCCAGGAGTGTACTTAGTTTGATGTTCTTTGGCTTTCTGTCTTCGTTGGAACGAAGCCCGGTTATTAGAAATTCCACAGCAATATCCTAGGAGCCCAGACACAAGAGTCTGAGAGCATCTTCACAGCTCTTATTAAATCTCCCCAGCTACCAGGCAGGGATGCTGCAGAGGCTCTAATGAAGCAATTACAGGCAGGAGAGGGATGAGTACCTAGCCCAAGCCCAGGCTGCTTTCTACCGCCACCAGAAAGCTGCCAGGGAGGCTCAGAGGAGTGGCTGGGGTGATATTCATTTTCTAAGAAGTGTTAAAATCAGATTAAGAGGTTTAAGGGTGAGAACAATAAATGGCTGAGGATGAGAGTAGGAGAGTGAATATACCAAAAACAAAATGGTATTTACAGAGCATGGACATTCTGTGAGACAAGTGTAAAATATGCAGTACCACTGACAATAAACAACCAATGCTACTCTGCATGGTAATCCATGAGTTACTTGTTTTACAACCTACAGTATATTTGGTGTTCCTGCGCTACACTTCACAGACTGGACCAGCGTGCAAGTTTTTTTTCTCATGACAACACCTCCGCCCTCCCCCTGGTGAACTGTGGACTGATTGCAAAGTTTAACAAAGTTTTCTCCCATTGTTTATTATTAAAGTAATAAATACTTAGCGTTACATCGCAATGGAGAGTTGCAGTAAAAACACAGAAAAGAAAGATGCATACTGTGTTTAACTCGACAGGTGCTGGTCATATAATTAGAATATCATCAAAAAGTTGATTTATTTCAGTAATTCCATTCAAAAAGTGAAACTTGTATAATGTATACATTCATTCCACACAGACTGATATATTTCAAGGGTTCATTCCTTTTAATTTTGATGATTATAACTGACAACTAATTAAAACCCCAAAATCAGTAGCTCAGAAAATTAGAATATTGTGAAAAGGTTCAATATTGAAGACACGTGGTGCCACACTCTAATCAGCTAATTAACTCAAAACACCTGCAAAGGCCTTTAAATGGTCTCTCAGTCTCGTTCTGTAGGCTACACAATCATGGGGAAGACTGCTGACTTGACAGCTGTGCAAAAGACGACCATTGACACCTTGCACAAGGAGAGCAAGACACAAAAGGTCATTGCTAAAGAGGCTGGTTGTTCAGAGCTCTGTGTCCAAGCACATTAATAGAGGCGAAGGGAAGGGAAAGATGTGGTAGAAAAAAGTGTACAAGCAATAGGGATAACCGCACCCTGGAGAGGATTGTGAAACAAAACCCATTCAAAAATGTGGGGGAGATTCACAATGAGTGGACTGCAGCTGGAGTCAGTGCTTCAAGAACCAGGACGCACAGACGTATGTAAGACATGGGTTTCAGCTGTCGCATTCCTTGTGTCAAGCCTCTTGAACAAGACACAGTTCCTTTGGAAATCAAGGTCCCAGAGTCTGGAGGAAGAGAGGAGAGGCAGAGAATCCACGTTGCTTGAAGTCCAGTGTAAAGTTTCCACAGTCAGTGATGGTTTGGGGTGCCATGTCATCTGCTGGTGTTGGTCCACTGTGTTTTCTGAGGTCCAAGGTCAACGCAGCCGTCTACCAGGAAGTTTTAGAGCACTTCATGCTTCCTGCTGCTGACCAGCTTTATGGAGATGCAGATTTCATTTTCCAACAGGACTTGGCACCTGCACACAGTGCCAAAGCTACCAGTACCTGGTTTAAGGACAATGGTATCCCTGTTCTTAATTGGCCAGCAAACTCGCCGGACCTTAACCCTATAGAAAATCTATGGGGTATTGTGAAGAGGAAGATGCGATACGCCAGACCCAGAAGAGCTGAAGGCCACTATCAGAGCAACCTGGGCTCTCATAACACCTGAGCAGTGCCACAGACTGATCGACTCCATGCCACACCGCATTGCTGCAGTAATTCAGGCAAAAGGAGACCCAACTAAGTACTGAGTGCTGTGCATTGGCCAACATGTCTAAAAATCCTTTTTTTGTATTGGTCTTAAGTAATATTATAATTTTCGGAGATACTGAATTTGGGATTTTCATTGGTTGTCAGTTTTAATCATCACAATTAAATGAAATAAACATTTGAAATATATCAGTCTGTGTGTAATGAATGAATATAATATCTAAGTTTCACTTTTTGAATGGAATTACTGAAATAAATCAACTTTTTGATGATATTCTTATTATATGACCAGCACCTGTAAATTGCAGTGAGCTGGTAAGGGGAGAGGGACTGATTTAAAAGCCGTCACTTTTGAGTGTCATTAAGTGAAACCCTGTAGCTGTGGGTTCGGGGCATGTGTACTGGTGTAGCACGGACACTGGGCTGCTAGAAACAGATCATCAGATTGTTAAGTTTATTGCAGCTTCAGTAATATCGGCTGCCTACCCTTTGACACACAGCTCCGCTGTTCACCGGAGAAAATATCTTGTGTGTGTTGATAGACTATTATTTGCGACTTGTAACCAATCAGACACTGCCGTGGGCGGGACATTAAGCAAGACTCCAGCCTGGTGATTACCTATAGACAGAAAGAAGCAGCTAGATCAGAGCCAAAGTAGCACATTTTAAAAATAATTTAACCCTAATAAAACTATGGATTGATCAGAACCATGAGTTTTGTGATAAGTTGCATAACTATTGAAGTAGCATTGATCACTCTGAGGTGGGAA